AAGGAGGGCACGTATTGCATGGAGCACTGGGTGTTATACGAAAACAGTGGATCGTGGATCACTACATCAAAAACTAATGATGTATTGAATGGTGACTAACATAATAAAATTAAAAAAAAAACAAAAAACACTAGAGGCATTTCCATTCAAATCAGAAATTAAAAAAAAATAATGTTAGCTGTTGGTTTTTCTTAGATGCCTTTTATCAGGTTGAGGACATTAACTTGTATTCCTACTTTGCTGAGACTTTTTAATCAGGAATGAATGTTGGATTCTGTCAAATGCTTTCTCTGTATCTACTGAGATAATCAGACAGCTTTTGATTTATAGTGTGTTAATATGGTGAATTTTAATGATTGATCATTGAATGTTAAACTAACTTAGTATTCCTAGGATAAACCCTACTTGGTGATGACATGTTATCCTTTTTTCATATATATTGCTGGATTCCACTGGCTAAAATTTAGTTTATAATTTTAACATCTATTTTTCATGAATGATACTGGACTGTATCTTTCTTTGCCTGATTTTGGTATCAAGGTAATGCTGATTATCTTAGGTGAAAGAGTAAATCAGGTCCCTGTTACTCCATGTTAGTCAGAAGTAGAAGTCTGCTTTATAGTCATTATTTCAACTACTCCTTCCTAGCCTAGAAAATATGCATCATTATTAACTTCATTTTGCATTTAGGGGAAATGGGGAATGGGGAGAAAACTGAGGCTCAGAGAGCAAGGGAACACAATTCCAATCTGGAACTAGGATATGAATCCAGAGAGTATAAATCTAAAATCCACTCTCTTAATCTGCTATACTATATAATACTGTAATATTTAAGTAGTATTCAAAAAGATTCTCTTAAACACAGAAATTAATTTATTTTTCATTAAGAAAAAACATTCTACCTCTAAATGATACAAGTAGTCTGACCTGGAGCTCATGTAATCACTTAAGAACTATGGTATTTGTTGAGAAGAATAAATGAGATGCCACAGTTTCTCATACAGAGTCAGGATCCATATAAACTATTAACTACTGAAAATATTACTTAACAAAAAGAAAAGATCCAGCTGAAAAGAAATAGTCTTATAAAGATGTCCTATAGTCCCCAAAAGTCCAACCAAAACCGTAACAATGGGGCACTTGGGTGGTTCAGTCAATTGAGCATCCTACTTGGTTTTGGCTCAGGTCATGATCTCACAGGCTGTGGGATCAAGCCCTGTGTTGGGATCCCCACTCAGCAGGGAATCTTCTTGAAGAGTCTCTCCCTCTGCCCCTCCCCCTCTCTCTAAAATAAAATAAAATGAATCTCTAAAAACAAAAAACACTAACAATTGCTGCTACCATTTCAAATTTTTATTTAATCTTCAAAACCACATTGTGAAATAAATATTACTACGTAAATTCGATAGCTCAGGAATTGGAGACACAACATTAAGAAACTTGTTTAAAGTCTGCCATCCCATAAGGAGCAGAACAGGTATTCAAACCTAAGACTCTACAGCTTTACAATATTTTCTTAAAATTTCCATTTTTTTCATTTTTGTATATTACAATGTTATCATCCCTAACAAACAAGAAGCACTGCCAAGGGCCTTTTGGAAATAAGGGAAGTGCAACATCAGATTTTAGCAGAACACAATGCCACACAATTGATGCCGAGCTCTGATGTAATGACAGCAATGAGGGCTTTCCCAATCCCTGACTGGATTACACTGTTTTGCCCTCTTTCTAAAGCAAGTTTTCCTTCCATAAAACTAGCTAAGTACCTTTTCTCTACTTCTGATGATCTATAGTGGGGCATAGCTCAATTAGCCTGGACTACTAGCTGTGGGCTATAATGCAGAATTCCTCTAAGAGCAGGATGGGAAGAGGAATAACAGCTATTCAAGTAATTCCAGGCCTGAGGCAAGACGGTTTTGGGCAAAAAGCCTGGACTCTTGAAAAGACTGCCAACGTTCAAATACCTATTCTGCCTCATACTAGCTGTGAGACCTTGGAAAGATTATTTAACCTCTTTGGCCTTCATCCATAAAATGGGGATGATAATTTGTCCTCTCATAGTATTGAAGATTAAGAGAGAGAATATATGAAATGAAGAGTGTTTAGAATAGTGCCTGGCACTTGCTAGGCACTGTTTAAATTTTATTATCAATATCACTATTATTCCTATGGTTACTGAACAGTAAAAGTATTTTAGAGATTCCTCAGCATAAAGAAGATATTAGGAAATAACTATATCTAAAAACATAGTCCTATAAACCTGACATATCTATATCAGAGTCCAAAAAAAATAGCTTTGAGAGTTGATTTCCAGCATCTTCTATAAGTAGGCAGTTTTTAAAACACAAGCAGGGATAATCAAAACAATTCATAAAAACAAAGCAAATTACTCAATTCCAGTACAGTAGCATTAAATACCTACTATGCACTCAGCATTATGCAATGTTCCACAGGGGATATACAAGATCTATCCCTACTCTCAATAAACTTAGAATATTAGAGAGCAAAAAATACATACACAGAACAATCAAATAAGACAAAATACAGTATCACTGAGTGGCACATGAAGGAATTCTCAAATACCATTAAAATTTATGAGTTCAATATACAGAATAAAAAGAAATTATCTCTCTATATATTTACTGCTACTCCTGATGTTAGTGCCAAGAACAAGTTCAAAGGACTGGCATATTATATTATAAATTATCAGTCACTCAAGCAAAAAAAAAAAAAAAAAAGATGGTTATTTAATAACAATTTCCATTGTAACTTACTGTTGCTATTTTGGTCTGGAGAAAGTTCTCCCTTTCTTCATCTACCTTAATTTCATGTCCAGTTTTAAATAATTCAAGCATTTTGGGGATGTCACGGCCAATGGAATCTGGTTAGAAAAATTAAAAATCCAGTTATCACTACATATAAATAACAAAAATTACTGAATAAGAGAAACATTCATCCTATATTAAGATACAGCAAACAAGTTATAGCAGACAGACTTTATAGAGTGGCCTCTGTGATGCCCATTTCCTGGTTTCATTCCCTTTTGTGACCCCCTCCTCTTGAATGTGGATGGGAGCTGCAACTTGCTTCTAACCAAGAGACAGGATGTTTATATGTACATGATTACGTTACATAAAATTGTAATGTCCATCTTGGAGGAGACTCTCTTCTTTACTGGTTTTGAAGAAGCGGCTGCAATGTTTTAAGCTGACATAGGGAAAGGGCCCCAAGACAAGAAACTGATGCCCTCAACCTAGCAGCCTGCAAGGAACTGAATCCTGCCCCAAAGCCACATGAGTCCAGAAGTGGATCTTTCCCCATTTAAGTCTCAGATGAAACCACAGCCCTGACTGATGCCTTGACTGAAGCTTTATGAGACACTGAAGCAGAGGACCCAGCTTAGGTGTACACACATTCCCAACATAGAGAAACCAATAGATAGTAAATGTGTGTTGTTTTGAGCCACTAAATTTGTGGTAATATTGTTGCACACCAATAAATAAGTATATGTAAGGATGATGCTTATCACCCTTTAGAAACCTAAGGACAAATTAAAATCTATAATATTTTCTGTGATAAGAGCAAACAGTACAGTCTTGAAATCTTTTAGGAAGTTTTCACCTACTTTCATGTGAAACTCACCTGACCTGCCTTACCATAAAAATGGGAAAGGTACTAGAAGTCACAAGATTTAGCAGTAGAAATAATAATCACAGTGACTGATAGTCTAGAGGCAGTTCATTACTGCATAAATGGCTACAGAAGCTGGCATGAAAAAAGAGTTAAGAATTGAAACTCAAAAAAAAAAAAAAAGAATTGAAACTCAACTTTTTGGATTCTAATGTCACTTTGTCCTCCATTATGGTAGAAAAAGAAGTACAACTGAATATAGAAAGGAGAAAAATGAAGTCAAGGTAAAAATTAAGAATTTTCAACAGATCACACAGAAGACTTCAAAAATAAACTGTACCTTCCAAATTTTTAGTCATTAACATTTAACTCAAATTTAATACACAAAAATACAAGCTTTTAATATTTCATGACAGCATACATTAACTTGAAAATTTTTCAATTTTGTACATAGAAAATATTATTTGAAGAGTAAGATAGACAATAAGGAATGTGCTAAAGACACACCACTCTTATATGTCTCCAATAATTCTTCCCATGATAAGTCAACATGAAGATCTCATTATATAGAGAGTACAGTGTATCTTCAGCATACATTACTGCCAAGGATCATCTGGGGAGTTGTTCAGTATGGCTCAGGAGCACTTCATTGTAAATGAAAGCAATTATCCACAAGGAGCTTACAATCTAATTGTAATTGATGGGGAGAAAAGGGACTTGCATTTGGAACTACCGCCAAAAAAATGCTACCTTTTTTTAGTATCAAATTCTGATGTAACTGGTATTAAACAGTATGAAAAACAGTATAATAAAACAGTAAATGCTAAAAGTGATATACAAAAAAACAGGAACCTGGTTAAATCATTTATATCTCTACTTAAGCTTGTTTCTCAAGAATAGTGCCTTCTACATAGTGAGAGCTCAAGAATTATGTTAACCACAATGCCTTCCTTTCTGTCATGGTGAATCAAGAGTCCATGCTCTCAGCAAAGGCCAACCCTCTTCATTTGTGCACTGGATCCCACCCCTCCCTTCTCTCTACTACACCGTCGCTTTTCTTAGACATGCTTTTCTAAATCATCGTCATCAGCTTACAAACTTGCTATAAAATCTCCCATCTTAAAATAAGTCTACAACTTCATATTGTCTTCCAGTGACCAATACTTCCCTTAAGAGTTTAAGTTCTCAAAACAGCTGTCTATCCTTTCTCTCTCTACTTCTTCTCCTTCCATTTTCTCTTAAATCTACTTGAATCAGGTTATCATCCACTGAAAATAATATTGTCAAGGTCACCAATGACCTTCACAATGACAAATCCATTAATCATTTCTCAATGTTCCTCTGACTTGACCTATCAAGAGCAGTTCAGCGTGTATCTCTCTTTTTCCCTAAAATATCCTGACTTGTCCTCTGAAACACTGCTCTCACTGGCTGTTCCACTCAATTTGTTGGCTGGCCACCTCACCCTCAGCTCACCTAGGTGACTTACAAAGATTAAACTACCTCAGGGCTCAGTTTTTGACTTCTCTTTCTACTCAATCACACCTTAAGCAATCTCATCCAGATACATGGCTTTAAAAACAATTTATCCACCAAGAACTGCCAAATTTACATCTCCAGCCACAATCTCTCTCATGATCTCCAATCACGTACTTGATATCTCTGTCTAGATGCAGGTAGGTAATTAGTGGGAGTACAAAAGGACAAATTTTTGCTGAAAGAATGAACAAATAAATGACTTCATAATTTTGAGTCTGATCTCATAGTGACATTGTAATAATGAGTGTGAAAGACCAGGGCTTAGGAAGAAAACAGAAATAGTTTTTCATTAAAACATACTGAAGAGAAGGTTCTGATGGAGTATTGAAAAAAAATATACAGTGTGTGTACAGTTAGAATAAGAAACCAGAAAAAAAGTGATAGATTGGGGGTAATGACACAGATTTGAGTTTTCAGGCCAATTCCATCCCAAAACAAATAAAATCTTTCTTTGACTTTACATATTCCCTTTTCTACCTCTTTGTCTTATAAGCAAAGTTTGTCGATGTTAATTTGCATTTACCTAATGACCAAGATGTTGAGCATCATTTCTAGTCCTTAATGGCCAATTGTATATCTTATTTTGTAAACTGTCTGTTCAGTTCTTTTGCCCCCTTTTTAAATAGTCTTCTTACTGAATTATAAGAGTTCTTTGTATATTCTAGAAATAAGTCCTTTGTCAGATAAATATGTAGTAAATATTTTCCCCCAAACTGTGGCTTGTCTTTTTCATTTTCTTAGTGGCGTCTTCCCATGAGCCAAGTTTTTAATATTGATAGTCCATTTTAGCAAGTTCTTCTATGGCTCATGCTTCTTGTGTCCTAAGAAATCTTTGGGCCATAAGATTTAAATCTAGGGCCATAAAGATTTTCTTCCAGAAAATTTTCTTCTAGAATTTAATGGCTTTAACCCTTACAATTAGATCTGTGATCCATTTTTAATTAATTTTTATATTTGATGGGAGGAAAGGGATATCCAGTTATTTTAGAAACATTCACTGAAAACTGTTCTTTCTCCCATATAATCTTAGTACCTTTGTCAAAAATCAGTTGTACCTTAGGCTTGGGTCTATTTTTTACCTCTCAATGTCTGATCTATACACATCCATCCTTATGCTAAAGCACACTGTCTTGATTACTATAGACTAAAGTCTTAAATCAGCTAATGCAGGTCCTCCAATTCTGTTCTTCCTTTTTAAAAACATTTTTTATTCTAGGTCCTTTGTATTTCTACTTATATACTAGAATGAGTTTGTCAATTTCAAAAAAAAAAATAATTTTTTTTAAGCTTCTGGGAGCTTGATTGGGACTGTACTAAATCTGTACAAAATGTAGGAAAAATCCCTCTTAACAATATTATCCTTCAAATCCATAGCAATGCCATGTACCTTTATTTACTTAGGTATTCCTGATACTTTTAGCAACAGTTAGCAGTTTTCTGTAAGTAGGTCCTGCATCTTTTGTTAAATTTATTCCTTATTTTGATTTATTATTCCTTTATTTGACTTTTTATGCTCTTATTAATGGAACTGTTTTATAAATTTCATTTTGATTGGCTATTGCTGGTATAGAAATACAGTTGATTTTGTGTATTGATTTTAATACTTTAACCTCACTAAATTCACTCACTTAGGGCGCCTGGGTGGCTCAGATGGTTAAGCGTCTGCCTTCGGCTCAGGTCATGATCCCAGGGTCCTGGGATCGAGCCCCACATCAGGCTCCTGGCTCAGCGGGGAGACTGCTTCTCCCTCTCCCTCTGCCTCTCTCCCTGCTCATGTTCTCTCTCTCTCTCTGTATCTCTGTGTCTCAAGTGAATAAATAAAAAATCTTTAAAAAAAAAAAAGAATTCACTCACTTAGAATCCTAACTTCTGGGCATGAAAACAGTTTTATTTCTTCCTTTCCCATATGTATGCCCTTTATTTCACTGACCTTTAATACAATGCTGAACGTAAGTGGTGAGAACACAAATCTTTACCTTGTTCCTGACTTTAGGCAGAAAGCATTCAGTCTTAATGGTCTCATCACTAAGAATTATATGAGCTGCTGATTTTTCATAGATGTGCTTTGTCAAGCTGAGGAAGTTCATTTCTATTTCTAGTATTCTGAGTTCTTAGCATGAATGGCTATTAGATTTTGTCAAATGTTTTCCCTGCATCTACTGAGATGATCTTAAGGTCTATTTCCTTTATTCTATTAACATGATATATTATATTGATATTCAGATGTCAAACTAACTTTGTAATCCTAGAATAAATCTTCTTGGTTAATGTTTACTAACCTTTAATACATACATACATATATACATAAAAACATACTGCCAGATTCAATTAATATTTTGTTAAACATTTGTGCATCTCTGTTTATGAGGGATATTGGTCTGTTGTTTTCTCTGCTTGTGATGTCCTTGTCTACCTCTGATATCAGGGTAATGCTGAGCTCATAAAATAAGTTTGTAAGTGTTCCTTCCCCATTATTTTCTAAAAGAGGTTTAATGGATTGGTATTATTTTTGCCTTAAATGTTGGATAGAATTCACCTGTAAGAAGTCATGTGGTCCTGAACTTTTCACTGTGGGAAGCTGTAAATTACTAATTCAATTTCTTCAGCTGATATAGATCCATGTAGATTTTCTATTATCTTCTAGACACTTTGGTGATCTGTGTCTTACAAGGAATTTGCCCATTTCATTGGCATAAAGTTGTTCCTAACAGT